TTATTATTATTGTTACGGAGTATTATTTTTATTATACTTATTAAATAATAATAATAGTTATTATTACTATTATAATTATTATTGATGTTATTATTATTGTTATTGTTATTGTTATTATTCTTATTATTATATACCAATTTAGAAAGTTAAGATCAGATCAGAAGGATTCATATCAGATCAGAAACATTCAGATCAGATCAGAAACATTCAGATCAGATCAGAAACATTCAGATCAGACCAAACAGATTCAGATCAGATCAGAAACTTCAGATCAGATCAGAAACTTCAGATCAGATCAGACAGATTCAGATCAGATCAGATCAGATCAGAAAGATTCAGATCAGATCAGAAAAATTCAGATCAGATCAGAACTTAAAAAATTCAGATCAGAAACATTCAGATCGTGCTTAATAAAATTGAGAAATTATTGATTATTACTCCTCCCGTCCCTTAAAACTTTGTCATATTTCTTTTTTCGGATGTCCCAAAAAACTTTGTCACTTTCCATTTTAATCAATTATTTTGTGGTTTCTATTATTTCCCTCTCATCTGCACAAATCTCAATCACACAGTTTTTATTTTATTATTCTCCGTGCCGATCAACTTTGGCAAAGTTTTAAAGGACAAAGGTAGTACTCCCTCCGTCCCGCAATTAAGTTACCACTTTCCTTTTTGGGAAGTCCCTAAATTAAGTTCACACTTCATCATTACTTTCCTTATTTGGCAAATTATCTGATGGAGTATATGGCCCAGGAACCCCCCGGCACACATACTCCTACTATTACATTCAGGCCCAACAAGCCCAGCATAGTGAAGCTCTAGGCAGCCCACGAGGCATGGGGGGTGCCTTCGGCCCCATTGCCGAAGGCCACCAGTGGCAGAATAGGACTCAGAAACATCACAGGAGAACAAGGCTTAAAAATCAAGCTTTCGGCATTGGAGCCCCCGACAATATAGGCCCCCGGTACGCAGAGCCTTCGACAGGATCTCCCATCCACATGTGCTGGATCAACGTACCAAGTACAAACGTCGCATCCAACCACCGCATTTAATGCAGCCACATGCGAATGCCAATGCCACCCCCGGTTGAGGTGACCCCTCGACCACCAGATTGTTGACACATGTCCCTAGCTAGCATTTATTGCAGCTATAAATAGCACTCATTTCTCCATTTGTAGACCACGCTCAATACAACTCGAATACACACTTGAACTCTTTATCTCTCTTACTTATTTGCTCTGACTTCTCTCTAAGTTACTCCCCGCAGTAACCCCTCGGATAAGCTACCCCCGGGTACACTATCCATCATTATCTACATCAAAACAGTGTTAAACAGTGCAAAATAATGCCAAACAGTGTCAAACAGTGTTTGAACAGTGCAAAACAGTGCACTTCACAGTAAAGTTAAATTTATTTTCTTAATACGAGTAAAGTTAAATCGGGAACTTAATTGGAGGACGGAGGGAGTATTTGATAATATATAATTTTTTTTCACATTGGTAGTGCACATTCAATTGAACCCAATGAACACAATGAACGCATAGCGGGCAATTAAAAGGGTAATGGCGGGCAAATTATGCCGTGAGATCGATATACTTTGCGCATGCTCTCTTTAATGGCACACTCTTGTCTCCCCCACCTTCCTTACTTTTTCTCATTTTGTTTTTTAGTTGTTAGCTCTCTTCACTTTTCTAGTGCAGTCCTCCACCTCTATCTATTTTCCTTGTTTTTACTTTTAATTTTTTCATTTTCAAAGGCTAATATATTTTCAAATGATATTTTTTAAAAATTAGTACCACTGGACGTATGTACTTCATATTTCATTTTTTTATTTAATTTTCATCCTTTCAAAATACATTAATTACTTTTCTTTCTGTTTTAATCCTTATCCATACACTATTTTTTCTTTTATTTCTTCAACTGAAATTATAACTAAAAAATTATTATTTTCTCTTCAAAATATTTTTTTTTATATTTTTTGTAATATTTTTTTCATATTCATACACTTTTCCTATAGTATATTTCTCTTCTCTTTTATATGCATTTAGTGCTTTTAAGATATTAAATTTGGTTATTTTGATTTACATTTGTTAAAATATGAGATTACATTTTCATATTTGTGATTTACATTCCACATGTTTGAGTTTTTTTATATAGGCAATATATCTGGAGTTACATTTAATAACATGTGGAATTACATCTTCTTGTGCGTGAGTAACATCTTTTTATGTTACATCTTCTTATGCGCGAGTTACATCTTTTTTATACGTGTGTTATATCTTTCTATGTGCCGGTTATATTTGAGTTTTTTCTCAACAAGTTATATTTTACATACACTTAAGTTAGATTTTCCATCAACGCGGGTTACATTTTGCATAACACGAAATACATCACAACATAAAGCCTACTATTGAAACAAAAGAACCTTTATTTTGCAAAAAATATTTTTTTTTGTCAAAAAAATTGATTTTTTAAATACATTTTATGGCCTAATATTATATATATATATATATATATATATATATATATATATTCACTATATAAGTAAACCCCTATTATTGAAACAAAAAAATCACTTTTGTGCAAAAACAAAATGATTTTTTTGCGGAAAAATGATTTTTGAAAAAAAAATGTTTTAAAAAAATTATGACCATAATATAAAAAACTAAACATGTTCGCTATTTATGTAAAGTAATTGAGGGATTAGATTCCTTGTTTTCATTAAAATCCGTATTAGACATATATTACATTTCGACTTGACTGCAGTTATATTTTTTATCAACGTGAGTTACAGTTTTTTACACGCGAGTTACATCACTCCGCTACTGGGACATTAAGAAAAATAAAAAGGAAGTTATTGTTCACGTGCGTGAACAGTAAAACACATTTTTTTTGGGAGCAGCATGCTCATCGTGAGCCGCTCCCATGGTATATCAACCGGTAATATCGTGTACATTATTGTTTCCTTTACATATATATTTTGAAAAGAAAACGTCAAACTATATCAAATAATCAATGGTTTGCGGTTACAATCAGCAAAAAGATAAAAAATCACCAAGTATCTTCTACCAAACTCCATTTAAACTTAAGAAAAATCTTACGATCAACAATACTTGATCTTCTTCCTCACTCTATCCGTACACCACATTCCCCGCTATACCTTCACAGTCGACACCAAAGGAACACCGTTCTCAAGCCAATCTGCTGGAAGTCTTTTCCAAGCTTGCCTCCATCCTCATGAATCACAACATTGTTGTGCCTGCTTTCCACCAACAAGACTCTCGACTACTTGCTCTAGCAACCAACCGCCCATAAATGAAAACAATTATCGCTGCCCTCTCCACCCTCTCTCTTAGTCGCACCCCTGCTACAGACTGCTCACCAACTAATTGCGTGCTACAGTCTGGGCAGAAACGCCGAGTCTCCTCGTCGCTGCAATCTGCTTTCACGCGAACAAGACTTAGCCACCCTCTCCTCCAGCCAAAACACTAACAACAAAATCAAATCATCGAGCGCCCCTTCAACCCCTTGCCTCAATCGCTCACCAGCAAATTGACCGATGATTTCCAACGCCCAAAAACCGCCGACGAACAGGATTCGTAACAGTCCGTGTGCCTTGCTAGCTACTAGCCTTCCAGAGAACAAACTGCCGGACGAATGAAGTGACCAAGAGTCACCGCCGGAAACCAAAACCCTAGATAAACTAGGTACCATCCGCTACTTCTTTTGCGTTCGTTTACATATATTATTACAAATGCCTTGCATGTTAATCTATATTTAGAGAGTATGTCTCTCTCGTAGTATAAGCACAAGTATTAACAAAAGTGGAATTCAAGTGCTACACCTATTTAGTCAAAAGTACAACGGACTAACGGCACTTTTCAAATTGACCATTAATTATTACATACTCTTATATTACTCCCTCCGGTTCTAAATAAAGTTCAATGTTTGACTTCACACAAATTAAGGAAATAAATTTGACTTTAGTGTAGAGTGCACTGTTGTGACACTGTTTGACACTATTTGGCACTGTTTTGATGTAGATAATTTGTCAAATAAGGAAATGAGAAGAAGTGTGAACGTTATTTTGGACCGACCGAAAAAGGAAAGTGTGAACTTTATTTAGGACCAGGGGGAGTATTACAAATAGTCCTTGACCTAATAGTGCTAATAGTACATAGTCATTGACCTCGTTTTATTTTCAAATTTATCAACTTCGAATAAAAAGTTGATACACTAGCACATCTAAACGCTAATGTCTGGATGACATTATCGGCAACGATAAAGAAAAAACTGTCATTTTCCTCCGTCACCATCTTCATGAAATTCTGAATATCCATGAACGAATTATGTGCTAATTTTCAGGAGAGGTACGAACACCATCAAAAGGTCATATTACCAAAGACTCAGTATCACAGTGTGACTTGATCAATTCAATATTTCAAGACTTCAAGTTTATCCGTGACTATCATTCTGTCATATTCCAATAACTTCTAAATTAACATCATGCGAGCGAAAAGTCACTAATGCGGATATATTGGAGAAAACTTTTCCAAGCATGCATATCTCTAACATATGATGTTACGACGCCAATATAAAAAACAATGTTTTAAAAGTATTTTGATTCATGCAATATCGGTATTATTTATGCCTGAGCAAAATAATATCCGTATTATTCATGCAATATCCGTATTATTTGACACCCATAAGTTCCGATCTTTCTGTCTATGGTCCAGCTTGCCATAATATAGCCACCCACTCAAATTCAACTTACAATCACATTCAAAAGCATCTCAATTGTCCTTAACGTAATAACAAATCCAACTGAGGATATAAAGCTCTAAAACAAAATTGTAAGGTTAAGGACAAACAAAGAGTGCATCAAATAAATCATCTACAGAATCCTCGGTAAAAACAACTAGTTATAATTGTGGCATGAAGCCAAAAAAAAATGGATGGAGAATGGAGACCAGAGTAAGAAATGGAGATGAGCTAACTCCTTAAACATGAAGTAGGCGTAGTTAAATTGCAATGTTAAGACTAATCCGGTGGAGAGCACAATAATATGAATTACATAAAGTTTTACACAGAATAAACATGATCCTTGTTTTGAGGAGGTTAAATTGTTAAAGAAGAATGGCAGAGGAATTCATAAATAGTGGATACAATCTTACAGTTCCTAAAGAACAGGAATTCAGAGGTGCTCAGTAGAAAGAACCACATAAATTCTTTTAGTACAAGAGATGCAAGTTGCAGCCATGAAACTCTTACAGCTCCCTATATTTTATTAAGCATGGGAACAATACCTCAAACCAAACACACCTTAGTCAAGGGCAGCCATTGATCTCATGTCTTTTACCAGGTCCTTGATAAATTTACTCTGAATCTCTTTATCAACCAAAAACTTTTTCCACTTCTTCTGGTTTTCCCTTAACACTGTCCCTTCTTCCCCCATAGCTCTCTGCACAGCCTCCTGAATATCCTCTTTCCAGAAATACCCATCTTCATCTCTCCTATTCACCTCCACGCCAGCCTTCAGATCCGTCGCCACCAGCTTAGCGTTCAAGAATTGGTCACCTCTCAGGGGAAGCATAACCAGCTGACAGTCATTCACCATAGCTTCGATCACCGAGCTGAATCCGGCATGGCAGACGTAGCACCCCACGCTAGTGTGGGCCAGGATCTGCTGCTGCTGCACCCACCCTGAATGGACGAGCCCCCTTCTCTTAACCCTCTCTGAGAATCCATCCGGAAGTACCCTTTTCAGCTCCGATGATTTCTCGACGGAGGCCGGGATGTTCAGCACCAGAAAGAATGGAAGTCCGGTGAGTTCCAACCCGAGAGCCAGTTCTTTGATCTGGTCGTCGTTCAAGAACGTCTCACTCCCAAATGAGCAGTAAATTACGGAATTGGGTTTGAATTGGGTCAACCAATTCTCCCATTTCTCGTCCAGATCGCCGCCGGAGGATGGCTCCGGGACTACCGGACCGGCGAGAAGAAGGGGTTTCTTGAACTGGGATTTCACGAAATCAATGTAAGGACCTTCCATTTCGTAGCATGTCTTTGCTAGAATTGCAGAGCAGCCATTCAGACCTGCAAGAACACGATCATAAACAGAGGCATTGTCATCGAAGCTCATGAAGATGTACAGGAAATCTCGAGCCTCGAAGGTTCTGAGTGAAGTGATCGGAGTTTGCGGAAAGCCGGGCGGGGGTTTCTTCATTTCCTCAAGAGAGGGAGATTTCCTGCCGGGTTCAGGGAGCCGAGAAGGAACGGTGGCGAAAGCGGTGGACAGAGCGATGAAAACAGAGTAAAAGATAGTCTTGATCCCGAGATCCGCCGCCATCGGCGGCAGCCAGTCATGGGCGAAATCGAAGAGCACGACGTGGGGCTTGAGTTGAACGAGGAGGGATTTGATCTGCGGCTTCATGAGGTTGAGAGCCACCTTGAGGAGCTCGACGGCGGTCGGGGACAATTCGGCAGTGCTCTCTGCTCCCGGAGGAAGGCCGTCGACGGTGGGAAGAGTGAGGGGGATAATCTGGGTATCGGGAGGTGAAGATGTCAGCATGGATTGAACTCGGGGGGCATTTCCGGCGGCGGAGAAGAAGGAAATCTTGACGCCGTGAAGGGATAGCTTGTTGGAAAGCTGAACAAATGGGCTAATGTGACCAAATGCGAAGAACGGAAACATGACTACATGAAGAAGATCATCGTCATTGCGATTCTCCATATTTTCCAGTTTTTGTTCTTTTCTCAATCTACACCAGACGCTCTCTCTCTCTCTCTCTGAGGTGCAGATCCGAGCTCACTCTTTAACTGTAATAAGAAGAAGGTGACAACTCCAGAAACGTTGAGTAGGGTTTGAGGCTTTGAGTTTGAGCTATTTATTTTTGCTTCTTTTGTGTTTACTCGACAGAAACAGAAACTAAAGTGATCTATTTTCTCCTTCCTCCGATAAGTATTCTTGTTTTTATTAATTAGCTAATCGCATAAAATCATCCGTTAAGTGTGTGGTTTCTAATGCACTTCTCGTGAGAACGGCCACTTCTTACTAAGCATTAAAATTTACAATTCAAATTCAAATACAAGACAAAACACCGATTGAATGATCGTCAAAAATTGAAAATAATAATCTCAACTATTATCGGTCCGCTATTAATAATCTCAACTATAAATTATTTCTGGGTGGTCCTAACAATAGCGAAGATTATTCAAAAATAGTCCCTAAACCGCTACAACCTGGTATAACAGGTCAAATTTAAATTGAACTATGCAAGAGCTCTAAATAATCCCAACTATAGTTGATTTTCTTTTATTAATCCCAATTATCAACTCTCAATTTTAGAAAAATAAAAAAAAAAAATTATAAATTTTTAAATTAAATATTTTTAAACATGTAAAAATTATTATGAAAGTTCTACAAATGTACCGAAGTTAAATAAAATAGTTTTAGTTATTTTTTTATTTATTTTCGCTATTTTTTTTTTCATTTTTCCAATTTATTATTCCCAGTTGTGTTGACAAGTTATGATTTAGTATTATTTTCCTTTATTCAATTTTACAATTTCTGTTTTCAAAAAGTAAGTTGTGACTAAATTTTTTATGATTGAAAGCTTTATTCTAGTTTTTTCATAAAAATATATTTTATTTAAATTTTATGCTATGTTATTTCTAAAAATCTAAATTCTCTATTTTATCCATTTTAGTATTTGTAATTTCTTCTATTTTTTTATATTATTATATGAAATAGTTTATCGTTCAATTTTTGTGATTTGGGGCATAGGTTTTGGAGGTTTTGGCTATTTTTAATGAAAATGTATTAATATTGTAATTTTAAATGATATAATGGAAATTGTAAAATATGTAGAAAAAGTGTATCGTTTAAAATTAAAGTATTAATACATTTTCATTAACAAAGCCAAAACCTCCAAATCATATGTCCCGAATCACTAGAAGTCAATGATAAACTATATCATATAATGTATAGAATATAATAACATAAAATAAAGAAAATAGAAAGAAATAAAAAATACTAAAATTGAAAAAATAGAGAATTTTATTTTTTCAATTAAGATAGCATAACAATTTAATAAAATTACTTTTCATGAAAAAATATAAAATAAAGATTTAAATCGTAATTTTTTTAATCATAATATACTTTTTAAAAACACAAAATGTAAATTTGAATAAAGGAAAATAATACAAAATCATAACTTGTTAACAAAACTAGGAAAAATAAATTGGAAAAAAGCAAAAATGAAATTTTAGTGAAAATAAATAAAAAATGACTAAAAATATTTTTATTTAACTTCGATACATTTTTAGAATTTTCATAATTATTTTTACATGTTTAAAAAAAATTAATTTGGAAATTTATAAAAACATTATTATATTTTTTTAAATTTTTTAAAACATATTATATCATTTAAATAAAATATGGGATTATTTATAGCTTACGCATAGTTCAAATTAAAATTTGACCTGCGATACCAGGTTGTAGTAGGTTAGGGACTATTTTTGGAAAATGGTCCCTATAGTTGGGACCACCTACGAATAATCGATAGTTGGAATTATTAGTAGCGGAACGACAATAGTTGAGATTATTGTTTTCCATTTCTCCTTTGAAATAAGGGTTTTCATTCGGATCTTCCTACGGTGCACTAACTAATTTGGTGTGTTTTGGTACATTGCATTTGTTGTCCAATAAAATCATAGCACGGTGCCACATCATAGTGTCATATCCTTCTCAAATATTTGTCCTATCAGCAATACACCTAATTGGGTACCGGTGCATATTAATTTAAGCAAAAATTCCTTTTGTACACACCTTATACAAATCAGCACACCCCCGTGTCTGTGAGAGTTTTTTGTCTGTGAATTCCAGTCTACAGACAAAAACTGGTTTGTTTTGTCTGTTAAAAAAATTCTACAGACAAAACAAGACAATTTTTGTATGTGGACTGGGATTAATAGATAAAAAAACTCTCACAAACACGGTGTGAATTGATGTGTATAAGAAAGTGTACAACAATAATTGTAGTAATTTAAGAAGGGCACCGTAGAATTTCCCTTTTCATTTATTCCTCCAAGGTCGGTCAACTTGGCGACGGAAGCTTGCATAGTAGGAACTACTAGTATCAACTATCAAGCACGTTTAGACTTTAGAGCCCATTTGTCGACTCCGTTTTCCGGCTTATCACGCTTATCAACGTACTTTTTAACCAAACACGTAAGTTTTTATTTCGTGCGCTGAATTGTGTAATAATAAAAAAATGTAAGGTTGAAGTTACTTTTCTAGCTGTATTGGCTGAAATTAATGTAGATGAACATTTTAGTTATTTTATAATACAATTTTTTCTTTATTTTATGAATGAAATATATTTTAAATATAGTTTTTCATAAATCAACAGAATCAGTCAATACAGCTACTTCAGCTAGAACTTTATTAATTTCAGAAGAATCAGTCGATTCAACTGATTCAGCCGATTTCAATGTTACCAAACGAGCTCTTAATTTTTTAAGCACATCCCCAATTAAATATCCAATGGAATTGTGTTTAATGCATCTCCCTTTTGCATTGTGTTTCCCGTTATCTTTTGAAGTTATAGAAAATGGACAATTGAAAAACTAGAGCCCAAGGATCATTAGTCGATAATAAACTTGTTGACATACCGAGTCCAACTTCTATATACCTCTATATAACTCTCTTGTTTTCAATTACATATCGAATCTAACTTTTATATTGAATTGATAAAATAAGAATAAAGTAAGAATGATTTATAGTTACACAAATTTTACCAAATTTGGATGAGATGATCTTAGTGGGATTTTCAAAAAACGTAAAATGAGACAATTCAATATTGGAACGGAAGGAGTATTTAACAACGGATATAGACCATGTTTGGTAAATGACGTTTCAGCCAAAATTTGGCGGGTTTGACCAAAATCGGCGTTTTCAATCGGTCAAAACGCTGAAGTTAAGTGTTTGGCAAATGACTTGTTACTATAGCGTTTTTGGTCTGAAACGCCAAAAAATGAAACGCCAGGATTAGGAGCGTTTAGGTTTAGCAGGTTTAAAAAAATAAAGATTTGTATTTTCACACGATGGTATTATGATTCAAATAAGTACCAACAAATACTTTGATACAACATGTAGCACTGAAAATTTTGATCGTTTATAATATGAAAAATAACTAGAATTCTAATTTAAAATTGTAAAAGATTCAATGATGATTTAGTTCAATTTAAATATATCTTTCTTCCAAAAAGGTTGTTCTTTCAATTTAGAATTGTCATAATGGGTTGAAAACTAGATCAATAATTCATAAATGTAAATCGCTTGAAATCAACTTTGAATAATCTATTTCAGATACAAAATTATTATGCGTGAATTAGACACAATAGATCAGTGTCACACTCAAGCTAATGCCATCCATGTGGTAATACTACTTCAAGCTAAGAAAACTTCTAAATTTGCCACCAAATACGTCGAGTGCAGGGCCGGCCCTGGCGATGTGCAGGGTGTCCAACCTCTAAGTAACACTAGTGTTACTTAGAGGTGGAGCGTATATATAGGAACGAAGGAGTAGTAAATCCTCCATTTCCATCGGTGTGAGAATCTTAAGCTTTAGAAACTAAAAAGATAAGAAGCGAGGCATGCGGGATTCGAACCCAGGTGAAAATAAAATCATGCACGCTGATCTCTAAACATCAACCCACTGGACCGAATCAACTAATTGTTGAAATAAGGACGTACAAGCTTTATATTACCTATTTGTTCTACAAAATAAATAATTAAATATATCTCTTAATAAAAATCGGTTTGGTTCGGTTTGAACCGATTTTATAACTCAAAAAACCTTCATTAAACCGATTTATGTTCTAGTCTCGACTTTCGGGTCCCGTTTGAGTCGGTGCGGTTTCGGTTCGGTTTTTTAACTTGTGTTGAAACTTTGAAAAGAAAACCCAATTATTTTTGTTGCACAGGGTCTTCATTTCCTCAGGACCGGCCCTGGTCGAGTGATATTTGAGCAATCTAGCCGTTAGACAAGGAGACAAATTCATTTCTGATCTTTTTTGCCCTTTTCTTCATTCTAAGTTAATTAATACTTTTACCTAAAAGGTTGGCGGAGGGTGGCTGGTGGAGGTTTGCCTACTATTGCCTTTTTGCATTCTAATAACTAATAATCTTTTAGTCGGACGTACTCACGTACATATGTATATATAGAAAGAGCGGTAGAGTAGGAGAAATGTGTGGGGAGGTCGAAATTTAATTATATGCGGTATCAAAATGGTAGATCATTATTAAACGATATTTAAATTAAATATATATGTCATATATAGTTGAAATAAGTGGTAGTTTAATGAGACATGTGCAGTTATTGTATTGATATATATGTCATGTATTATTAACTTCACACAACTAATAAGTGAATAAAGTGTTTGATTTTTAAATTTAAGAATATAATCAATACCACACATCAAATTTTGCTCATTTAATTTCAAGTTAAGATAATGTTAATTTTTCCAAGTGTCAACTCTTTTATTTACTCGTAAGTAGTTATGATCCCCATAATATATCAAATCAAAAAGTATGTCAGAGCTTTACACTTTTGAACTTTCAAGAGCTCTGAGTTACGGTCCCAATAATATATTGTAATGACTCTGCCCCTGTAATAGAATGGAGTACCATTCATTCCTATCAGGAGCTCTTAACCGGAATCGTTGTACGAAGGCCGTCGTGCTGAAGTGGTTTCCGGTGGAATTTTTTTATGCAGTTTTATGAGTATGTTGTTCATGGAGTTCACATTGTTCCATAAAATTACAACTTAAAATTCAATACGAAAGTCAGTTAAATAATTGTTGAAAAACATTGAACTGTTTATATATATATATATATATATATATATATATATATATATATATATATATATATATACCACAGTTTCATTCAGTAATTTATTTTACTAGCTTTTCAATTGAACTTTACACTCAAATTTTATTGA